CATACGCGCAGAATCTCGAGGCAGCGTTGCCAGAGGAGGGCGAGCTCGATGTACCCCCTCTAGAGGACTGCTGGAGTACAGTAAAAGCAGCCAACTCCGACGCAGCCGAGAGCACCATCGGGTACGTGGAAAGAAGTCGACGGAATGAATGGTTCGACGAGGAGTGCAGAGCGATTTTGGAGGAGAAGAACGCAGTGCGGGCGGTAATGCTGCGGCATAGAACCCGACAGAACGTGAAACGGTATAAACAGAAGCGGAAACAGCAGACCCGCATCTTTCGGGAGAAAAAACACCGCCTGGAAGAAGCGGAGTGCGAGGAAATGGAACTGCTGTGCCGTTCCCAAGAAACACGGAAGTTCTACCGGCTTCGTGCCGCGAGCCGAAATGTGCAAGGATAAGGACGGGAGTCTCTTGACGGACGGACGTGAGGTGATTGAAAGGTGGAAGCAGCACTTCGATGCGCACCTGAATGGCGAGGAGAACGTAGGCACGGGAGACCAGCGCAATGGAGGAAACGACTACGTCCGTGCAGCAGAGGACAGAACTGACCCAACTCCCACGCTGAGGGAAGTTAAGGACTCCATTCAGCAGCTCAAAAACAACAAAGCAGCTGGTAAGGATGGTATCGCAGCCGAACTCATCAAGATGGGCCCAGAAAAGTTAGCCACCTGCCTGCACCAGATGATAGTCAGGATCTGGGAAACAGAACAGCTACCGGAAGGAGGGGGTAATCTGCCCCATTCACAAGAAAGGCGACCATTTGGAATGTGAGAACTTCAGAGCGATCACCATTTTGAATGCCGCCTACAAAGTGCTATCCCAGATCATCTTCCGTCGTCTATCACCTAAAATGACCGAGTTCGTGGGAAGTTATCAAGCCGACTTCATTGAAATCCTGCAGAAATGCCGTGAATACCAGGTCCCAACGCATCATTTGTTCATCGACTTTAATGCAGCATACGACAGTATCGACCGCACAGAGCTATGGAAAATCATGGACGAGAACGGCTTTCCTGGGAAGCTGATCAGACTGATCAAAGCAACGATGGACGGTGTGCAAAACTGGGTAAGGGTTTCGGGTGAACTATCCAGTTCATTCGAATCTCGCCGGGGACTGCGACAAGGTGACGGAATCTCATGCCTACTCTTCAACATCGCTCTAGAAGGTGTAATGCGACGAGCCGGGCTCAACAGCCGAACGATTTTCACGAAATCCGGTCAATTTGTGTGCTTTGCGGACGACATAGACATTATCGCAAGAACATTTGGAACGGTGGCAGAACTATACACCCGCCTGAAACACGAAGCAGCAAAGGTCGGACTGGTGGTGAGTGCGTCAGAAACAAAGTACATGCTAGTAGGCGGAACCGAACATGACAGGATTCGTCTAGGAAGTAATGTCACGATAGACGGGGATACTTTCGAGGTAGTGGAGGAATTCGTTTACCTTGGATCCTTAATGACGGCTGACAACAATGTGAGTCGTGAAATACGAAGGCGCATCATCAGTGGCGTGCCTACTACGGGCTCCAGAAGAAACTACGGTCAAAAAAGATTCACCCCCGCACCAAATGTACCATGTACAGAACGCTAATAAGACCGGTGGTCCTCTATGGACACGAGACATTGACTATGCTCGAGGAGGAACTGCAAGCACTCGGAGTTTTCGAGCGACGTGTGCTAAGGACGATGTTCGGCGGTGTGCAGGAGAACGGTGAGTGGCGGCGAAGAATGAACCACGAGCTCGCTGCACTCTACGGCGAACCCAGCATCCAGAAGGTGGCCAAAGCCGGAAGGATGCGGTGGGCAGGGCATGTTGCAAGAATGCCAGACAACAACCCTACAAATTTGGTGTTCGCTACTGATCCGGTTGGCACAAGAAGGCGTGGAGCGTAGAGAGCACGATGGGCGGACCAGGTAGAGCGCGATCTAGCGAGCATTGGGCATGACCGAGGATGGAGAGCGGCAGCCGCAAACCGAGTATTGTGGCGTACTATTGTTGATTATGTCTTATCTTAAATGTGATGTTGTACAAATCAATGTATGTTTTTTTTTTTTTATCTTTATTAAGGAGACTTTCAGCCGTTGGCTGGCTCGTCTCCGAAATGTATGTATGTATGTATGGTCTCGGTCCTGAGCCAATCGCTTCCAGTCGCCGTGGGCGTTCAAGGACCTAATGTCCTCCTCAACTGCACAAAGCCAACGCGTGCGTGGCCTACCCCGAAGCCGACGTCCTCTTCCGGCGGGTTCCCTGCTGAATATTGACTTCGCTTGACGCTCTTCCGACATTCGTGCCACATGCCCAGCCCACTGTAGTCTGCCGTGTTTTATAAGCTTCACAATATCCATGCCGTTATATACTTGGTACAACTCGTGATTCATGCGACGCCGCCAGATGCCATTTTCCAGTTTACCGCCGAGTATTGTTCGCAGCACTTTACGCTCGAAGACACCGAAAGCTCTCCGATCGGCCTCTTTCAATGCCCACGATTCGTGGTCATAAAGGGCTACCGGCAGAATCAACATCTTGTACAGCGCGAATTTCGTTTTCGTACGCAAGCTGCGGGACTTCAGCTGGCTACGCAACCCGTAGAAAGCCCTGTTCGCGGCTGCAATACGCCTTTTCACCTCGCGGGTAACATCATTATCGCACGTCACTAAAGTACCAAGATAAACAAATTCGTCCACAACTTCAAATTTTTCGCCATCTAGCACCACTTCACTACCAACACCACTATTGCTCCCACGCTTTGTACCGGCGACCATGTACTTCATTTTGGTAGAATTTATCGTGAGACCAATCCTCGCTGTCTCCCTCTTAAAGGCGCGAACGCCTCTTCCACTGCTCTACGGTCGATTCCGATGATGTCGATGTCGTCCGCAAAACCAAGGAGCATGTGCGACTTTGTGATGATGGTACTGTTCCTCTGCACGCCAACTCTCCTAATCGCTCCTTCGAGGGCGATGTTGAATAGCAAGTTCGCAAAACTATATACGATATGAACGGAAACACCCTAAGCTACAATATGGATCCAATATTTCCAATTTGGAAAAAGGGCAGCGAGTAAATTTAATCTGTATACACACCAAGTTGTTTTTACAGTTGTCGGTAAACATTTTACTGACTTTCAAACAGCTGAACATTCGGTAATCATTTCGGTAAAAGTTTGGTTTACTGAACGATCAGTAAACTTGCAATGTATACTCAACTGTCAAAAAATACCGACTAGCTCATCATTCAATACCGAAGTTCGGTAAAATTTACAAAATAATCGGTAAAAATAGAAAGGCCGTCATCTGCCAAAAATTACAGTTCTTTCGATAGTTTTTACTGAAAAGCAGTGAAATATAGGGAATCGTTCCGTTCAAATCATGCACAATATAAATTGTTGTATATATCTTTTATTAAATGTAATTCGTCAATCTGTTTATCCAACGAGTCAGCGATCGCAAGCCATTTTATTTGAGTGCTAAAAAATGAAAACATTTAGATAATATAAATAGTACTTACTGAAAAGATCCCTTACTTCTGCATCCGGTCGTTAGCACATCTAATCTCATCGGACACATCTTCCATTTCAATGGTTTACAAGTTTTTTTTTTCTGCTAATATTTTTGCACGATTTTTTTAAAATTTAATTACACCGCTTAACATGCGAAATTGATGAAGATTTGACAGGCGTGATTTTAACTGAAGCGTTCAGTAATAATTACTGAACTCGTGTATTGTTTACATTTTTCGTCAGTATTTATAAATTGTTCACTGGAAATCGGTAAAACTTTTACTGAACAGTTTAGATTAAATGACATTTCATGGCTTACAAACTACATCGGTAAAATAGATGCAAATTTTCAGTAATATTTTCATGGGAATTACCGAAAACTTGTAGATATTTGACAGACAGAAGAAAATTAAAGCAAGTTTACAGATCACTCAGTAGAAATTAAATTTTACAGATCAAAACCGTAACAAAATTACCGAACATCAAAATTAGAATTTGGTGTGTATTATACTATCAAAGTTACCCGCATTATCAAAGATACCACGTTTTACCAACAATCAATACGAAACTAACGATTTTAAATTGGCTCACTACTTGACTAGCCTATTGGTCCCAAGCAAACGATTAACGTATCCCATTTTAGTCGAAATTCTAGTACTACGCAATGTTTGTTTTGATTCGCTATGAAAGTTTGACAGGTAAAATGAGGGGTTATTAGTTTTTCCTATGTTTCGAGGGGTGAATCGATTAGCTTGGGACCGAAGAGAGTACCAGTAAAGCCCTACAGTAAAAGTATGGACGTCTGTCAAAAGTTGTTCCAATCGAACCGTCAAAATGCACCGCTTTGCTCGATTGGAACAGCTTTTTTTTCAGTTTTGTGGTGACAGTCGTCCATACTTTTACTGTAGGGCTTTAAGTACCAGAGCTGAGCCAAAAAGTTGAGCACGTTATTTCGGGACCTTCTAGTCTTATGGTGGTAAGCTCCAACCGGTATTATCCTCGGATTAAATCCCGATCAAGAATGTCCGGCTGGTTTGATGTCGACATCAGAGTTAATCAACATAATTCTGAGCAAACATTTTTCAGATCATACAAACAGGGACGGTATTAAAAGTTAATCCGAGTTGGAGCTTACCGCCATTAGAGTTACCTCTATGGTTATAGTTAAAGCCCTACAGTAAAAGTATGGACGACTGTCACCACAAAACTGAAAAAAGCTGTTCCAATCGAGCAAAGCGGTGCATTTTGACGGTTCGATTGGAACAACTTTTGACAGACGTCCATACTTTTACTGTAGGGCTTTAGTTATAGTACGTTCATATATAACCGTAACAATATGCCATTTTAACATTCGGGATTTACTTTAATTCAATGTTTTTAAACGATTATTAAAACTCAGTCATATCTTCCTATTTCATTGAGAGTGAGCTTAAATTTGTTTACAGTGGCACGTCATGCATTAAACTACCACCATTTCAAATTTCCCTCCCGTTCCAGATGTCCCCGCGGATCTCCCCGTTGTGCCCAGATGCTGACTAGCGATTATCGGTTCTACTTTGCTTTTGAGAATTCCCTCTGTCGCGACTACATCACCGAGAAGGTGTACAACGTCATGGACACCAGTTTCATCGTTCCGGTCGTTTTCGGCGGAGCAGACTATTCCAAGTTCCTGCCGCCCTATTCGTACATCGATGCGCAACAGTTTGCCAGCGTGCCGGAGCTGGTCGATTACCTGATGTACCTAGCGCAGAACCCCAAGGAGTATGTTAAGTATTTTTGGTGGAAGGATCACTACCGGATCACCGGTAGTCAACCGTTTTGCGATCTGTGTCGCAAGTTGCACGCCATTGGAACGCGGGAAAGGGTGCAGTACTACACGGATATCGATGCGTGGTGGTTCGATGGGGCCTGTCAAGCCGAAGCGAAAATAAAGTTTTGAAATCGGAGTATCAAAGCACTTTGTATATTTTCAGATGTGTGTATAAAATAGCATTTAAGTAACTTATTGATCTTGGAATGGATCTTTCTTGATGTACTTGTCCAGTTGGCCGTTACTTTCCGGGTCCACCTGGGACAGTTGGGTGAAGCCTTCCTCGTCGACGAAGCAAATTTCGTGACCATCCGGATCGGCTAGGATGATGACTCGAACCGTGGCCTTTCCCGGAGTGTCCAACGAAATCAGTTGCGTCAAAATGGTACCATTGCTGGCTTTGATGACTTCATCAATCTTCGGTTGAACATCAAACGGAACGGCAAAAGCAATTCTTCCATAAGCTTTGGCACGATCCAGCGGTTCTTCGATTTTGCTCAATTCAAGAACGAATCCGTTGTCCTTGTAGGTCAGCTGAGCCGATTTGTCGCTCTTGGCGAGCTGCTTCATTTCCAAGGTTTTATGCCAGTACTTGACCGATCGTTCCAGATCGGTGATGTTCAGGGTGACTTTCCTCACTGGATCCTCGGTCGGTTTGTGCTTCTCGTTGATGACGAAGAACTTGTATCCATCGGGGGACACCAGAACGAAGCGATCATTTTCTTTGACCATGGGATAGCTGCTCTTGGTGGCTCGTTCGACTACTTCCGCTGATTTGATGGTAATTCCACCGAAATCGTTCCCCATGGTGTACTCCTTGACGCCGTAGTTGTAGGTGAGCTCGATCACGAAGTGAGTCGATTCCGGACCGTAGCCGACCATAGTCTTGCTCCATCGATTGTCGTAGGGACTGCAAATTACAAAATAGGAGATTAATGCGCTGGATTGAAGTGCCGATTCCCCCCGAACATCGACTAGGTGCGAATCGTTTTCCGAGCCCACGTGCTTAATTTCAAACGATCTCATTGGCTTATCCCGGCGACAAAAAAAAGTTCAGGTCGGCAGAAGATGTTTTTAGCTTTTACCTGAATCGACGATCTTGATGAGAAATGTATATGGGTCGTTTTATTCACAAAAGAGGGCTGCTTTCAATGAGATGTAAACAGAGAATTTTTTGTTCCTACGCTGTTTAAATGATGACGGAGTTGGACGTTAAATTCCGTCAACCATTTAAACAGCGAGAGAACGAAAGAGACGACGAATTCACATTGCCATCATTGGTCTGCTTTATCATAGCATGAAAAGAACCTCTTCGTTTAAAAAACAACTTCCTCGTGCCTCGTGTTATAATTATTATCAACAAGATAAATTACTCCAAGAATAAGATAGGCTTATAACATGTTATAATTTTGTAGTCTGAACATAGCATTACACCTGCGACAAACACGAGTTTACTAACGTTGTACTCCTACAATCTAGTATTAGAACTACAATCATGTAATATCATGGAATTCTGATAATTTTAAGACTGCATTGATTATAATAATTCCAATATTGTTGTTTGAATTAATGCTCATTGCTGAATAATGTCAGCATAATAAAGGTCATCATAGGGTTGATGCATGTATTATGTCACGCTCTAGGGGGTGGGGGGTGGGGGGTGGGTCTAAGGTTTTGTGACAAGCAATGCATTAGGTATAGGAAAAACGTCACGATAGGGGGGGAGGGTTAATTTCTCCTCGATTTAGCGTGACATAATTAATGCATGGGCCAATAGATCTAGAATCAGTAGTGAACATTTCTATCAACAATTTAAAAAAACGCGCACTGGACAGGTATGGAATAATGCACCAGATTTGCTAAAGTATCAACAGGAGAACAGCTCGCTTATGAAAACGGCATGCTATGTTGATCAATAAGCATTTTAAATGCCTTTTTTTGTTACCCCGTCTTACCCGTTGCAAGCAGCGTCGCATCCTTGGGTGAATTCCTCGTGACGAAGCACCTGAAGTGTAGAAAAAGGTAATTAATGGAAATGTGTAGCAATAGTTTTCATTTGCGCTATGATTGTCTGTACGGAATGCCGCAAACAGGTGGATGACCTTGAAAATGCGCTTCTCAGAGCAGAACACACCACATAACTACTTATCGCCGGTTAGAAACGATTAGTCATCTCAGAAAATTACAGCACTTGATGCAATCAATTGAAACAAACTCCTCCCCTTCTCACCTGCATTCCGAGGATGTCCCGGAAGAAGTGGGCATTCTTGGCACGGTTTCCGATTTTGAAGACGTAGTGCAGTGCTCGGGCGGAGATCATTTTCACCACTTTGTGGAACTTACTTCACTTTATAAAACCGGGAGAAGATTCAGGAAAAGAGATTCTAATAGAAGGAAACGAGAGTGTGATACAAATAGTTGTTAAAGTGATGGATGATTGTTCGGTCGGTTGATTAATTACCGTTTCTTATCAAAGCTCTGGAGGGCTCAGATAACAGTAAAGATGCAATCACATACAGTTACAAAACAAAAATAAGAACGTTTGCAACTTTCCTATTGGAATGCCGGTGAACGACTGAGGACTTTTGTGAATCAGTGTGTTTTCAAAAATCTTTATCGTTAGGCCACAGTATAGTCTCGACAAACAATTGAAAAAGGCCTATCAGCTTTTGTAAACTAAACTTTTTTTCCCACCAAGTTTCAATCGCTGAAAAACAGCAAAAAATTGCTGATTTTTGACTTGCCAAAAGATCCTCGGAAAGATTCCATCAATATAATTCTGCTGAAACTTCCAATAAGCTATTTACGTGACGTCTTGATGACAGTTCCTGGCGGGCCACTCGAACGCGCTCGAGGCATTGTTATTGTTTACGTCTGAAGTTTTTGTTTTGATTTTGGTCGTGGTATGTCAACAAATCGGCCCACTGGTAAACGTCATAATAGGTAAACATAAAAAAAGAGCTGACTGGAAACGTTTCGTAAAATGCCTTATAAAGGGAGAGAAAACTAACTTAGTATAAAAATGCTTTATGCAGTCAAATGTATAAAGTGTGAATATTCAAATGATGCATAAAGGGAATTTATTCCATGAATAGTATTTTTATGTGCTGGTCAGGGATATTTCCAATGCTATTAATTTTAAACATAATAATAATGTTACATGAGCAAATTAATTGTCAATTATTATTTATCACAATAAATCATATAACATAAACTGGATTAATTAATAATGATATCCAGAAAACTCGAACGACTGAGTTATTCGATAAAAAAGTGCAATAGTGGGTATCCAAAATGTTGTCTGTGTGGTTCTCATGGGCATTGTTAGAGATGTGGCAACTTGGATCAGCTGCAATCCGGTGATTTCTCGTGTTGGTTGTTTACATTAGATTGATATTGACAGGACAGCCGAGTCTCGTAGCAAAATCTAAACTGCACATCCATCAACGGAGCAAACAATCTCTTAGCCTATGGCGATTTCAAAACTGTAGTCTCACGCTTCCGAAACTGTCCCAACGGTCTGATATCGATATGCGCCAGTTCCGTTCAAATTCGGAGAATCTTTATAGGTAGCCTCCTAAAGGTCCAACATGCGGAAGAAATTGACCGTGATGCTGCAAACCGAATGACGCTAACGGGGGATCGGATTCAGCTTCATATTTTTTTGGCGTTATAACCGGCCTGGAAAGAGAGGATGTTTGGATCTAGTTTAGAGTTGACGAAACTGTTCAAATTCACCTTACCAGCAGTTCTTCACCGTTTCAAACCCGGTCATCTTCTGACGTTCCGCCGTTAGGCATGGAATTGTGATCAACTTGTTTCATGTTTTCGATTTGGCACTATCCGAGTACGTCGTTCGGTACCGCTGTGTATTGTATTGTACATATTTGAATTTCCAAACTGCATCAGAACCTTGATCTTTTTGTGGACATTCCCTTGGCGGCTGATAAGGTTCGGTTGCACGCAACAGGCATCACATTGTCGTCGTAGTAAATCCGGATTCGGGTGGATACATTGGATCGACATACAGCAGAACGGAACCATGGTGCCACGAAGGTCGTAAGCTTGTAAACATAGTGCAATTGAATTTTGGAGATTGTGGTGCTTGGACTCATTTGCATGCCAACGTTGCTTGAAGCTAAAAACAAAATTCTCATTGAAATGTTCTGCTCAAATATTAACTGATTCAATTCTTCAATACATACTAAAGCTTTCTTTACTCTTTGGTGAAGTAGGGATAAAAACCTATAAAAACGAGTGCAAATGTATGTTTTAGATAAATTATTAAAAAAAATAACGTATTAAGTAATCGGCTTCGATTTTTGTTGTGCAGTTAGTAAGTGAATGCTAGTATGATGTCGATTTCTGATGCAGTCTTATCTCACTGGAGGAATACAGTAGCAACGTGTGAAGTCCGGATGTCTCAGGTGCCATCTACTTAGACGAATTTACTAATAAACAACCAAAGGCCGTTGTGGTTACCGAAATAGCGGAACAGTTGTATCTATCATAAATGAATTCCATTCATAGCTGCAGGGAGGAGAACAAATTCTGCTCGCCCGTTTTACACAGCAAGACCACCGACTTCTACAACCCAAGCAGCATTCTGGAAATTAAGTTTCTACACCCTGATGACGTATATCAGCAAAATCAAAAGCTTGCTAAATTGCATTCCAGCATTGCCGATAACGTTCCTGTGGAAAATCTGTTTGCCCATCGTTACAATTACAAATTTTACAAGACCATAGGGGTGAATCGATTCGCTTGGGACCGAAGAGAGTACCAGAGCTGAACCACAAAGTTGAGCACGTTATTTCGGGACCTTCTAGTCTTAGAGTTACCTCTATGGAGTTACTCTGGTTTGCTCTGGGATCTGATCTAATTTGTGACGAAAAAGAATTAGTAGGGCATATAGTTTTGGAATCTGCACATGCAAATGTCAATTCGATAACGAAATGAAAACAATGAATGAAGAAAATACAGAAAATAAATGGATGCAATATTTATATAAGGAAATGATCTCGTTTTCCATCGGTTCATTTCAGTTTTGGCTATTTTCTAAAATCACTCTGATGATGGCTTTCTGCAGGGAACTTTTCTCTTTGCAATGGTAATGACCAGGATCTTGCCATCGTAGTACCATAGAGGTAACTCTAAGACCACTGGGTCCCGAAGAAAATCATTATTATTTTTGGCTCACTCAGTACCAGAACAACGGTCCCAAGCAGTCCCAAGCTATTTCACTCACCCCTGCATGTTCTGCATGAATCCACACACCCCTGATGTTATCTGTCAAACTTTCATAGCGAATCAAAACAAACATAGTGTAGTACTAGAATTTCAACTAGAATAGGGTACGTTAATCTTTTGCTTGGGACCAATAGGCTACTAAAGTGGTGAGCCAATTTAAAATCGTTAGTTTCGTATTGATTGTTGGTTATACCATAGAGGTAACTCTAAGACCACTGGGTCCCGAAGAAAATCATTATTATTTTTGGCTCACTCAGTACCAGAACAACGGTCCCAAGCAGTCCCAATCTATTTCACTCACCCCTGCATGTTCTGCATGAATCCACACACCCCTGATGTTATCTGTCAAACTTTCATAGCGAATCAAAACAAACATAGTGTAGTAATAGAATTTCAACTAGAATAGGGTACGTTAATCGTTTGCTTGGGACCAATAGGCTTCTAAAGTGGTGAGCCAATTTAAAATCGTTAGTTTCGTATTGATTGTTGGTTATACCAAGCACTTGTTTGAACCTTTTTCAGGTTCTATCATTGCTTTTGTCTCCCAGAAGCTCCGTTATCAACATGAAATTTTTCACATCTGAATGAAAGTCATCCGATGCTAACGCAAAAAATCTGGTTGCCGTTTACTCTGACGAAAAATAAATCACAAACAGTGCTGCTTGTTCGCAACACTTTCTCTTGGTGGGACTCTTATCATAACATCGACTCTGGGTATTTACTTGAACCGCTTGAACCTATACTATTTTTATCAGTGTATAATTAGTCCACCCTGATCAACTGTGGCACAAAATGAACAGATCCAAAAATTTCATGAGCACCCCTAGCGCTGCTGTCACTGCCTGCGGCAAACGTCAAGAGAAAAGTTACGAGACCAAAACCGAACCGAAAGTGATCCGCGGAATCGAAATTTTTGGGTGCACAAACGAGAAAAAAACAAGCAAAAAGCATCAGAAAAATTTCCCGGCGCCAGGAAAGCATGAGAATTATCAACTAGGAAAGTAAGCACAACACCCAAAAACCAAACGATGGCTGTTTCATTCTGTGGAAAACGTATCCTGTTGACGCGGTTTAACCTGCTGGCGAATCAGAAGCGCCACGGTTATATTGTCCTGTGAGTATTTTTAGTTTCGGCGAGCCGGTTGAAGCAAATATTACGTCGTTTTTGTCGAACTTTCAGAGTGCCGGAGATCGGCGAAGATTTGCCGGAGCGCAATCCGCTGTCCAAGTCGGAGAATGGCCTGCCGGAGTTCAACAGCGTGACGATCGAGAAGTGCGTCGGGACGATCGGTCAGCAAGCCTTTGCCGTGGAGAAGGGCGTGAAGGCACTGGAAGCGAAAATCGCTGTCGGTAGTGCGGCTGAGGGAGTGACGGATGTGATCCAGGATGTCCTTTTGCCGCTGGAGACGCTTGGGGCTCCCCTTGAGACGACCTGGGGAGTGGCCAAGACGTTATACCTGGGCAACAGCTCGAAGATGCCGACGAAGAGTTACCTGACGATTCACGAAAGGGCCCGTGGGGCGAGAAGATGTAAGTTTAACAGTGCGCCGATTTACGGCGCGCTGAAGGAGGCCAAGAATGGGGGTCGGAAGTTTTCGCAGGAAGAGAATAGGTAGGAATTGTGTAAGGGGGCGGGGGGTCACGTGGAAAGGATGGTTGTTTGATAAGAATATTTCTACTTTTAGGTTGATAAACAAATATCTGCTGGAGTCGAAGCTGAATGGGATTGAAGTGGATGGACCAGCCAAGCATGAATTGAAGGATGTGCTGGCAAAGTTGACACATGAGCGGTCCAAGTTCCATGGCAAGCAGGAGGTGGCAGTGAAGAAGTTTTCGCAAGTCATCAAAGATCCGGCGCTGATGCAGGAGTTTCCTCCGACGTTGCTCCAGGCGCTGGCCGTCGATCAGTCGCAGGTGATCAAGGGTCCATGGAAGGTGACCTTGCAGCCATATGTCGTACAAAAGTTTTTGGAGTACTGCCCGGATCGAACTTATCGCTGGAATCTGTGGCAAGCCGATACTCGGAAGTGTTCCAATCATACGGATAAGGCGTTGGAGAACAGTACCCATCTGGAGATGATCCGTTCGTTGAGGAAGCGTCAGGCAAAGTTACTCGGCTACGAAAGCTTCGCGCACATGTCGATGGAAACGAAGATGGTGGGATCGATTGATTCGCTGAAGAACACCATGAACGAATTGCTTCAGTACGCCCGGCCTGCATGTGAGAATGAAATGGCTTCGCTGGAGGATTTTGCCGTCGATCATGGATTCAAGGCTAAGCTGGATTTGTACGACGTGCCGTACTGGAAGAGACGACAGCTGGCCGAGTGTCATCAGTTCGATAAGGAAGCCCTGAGAGAATATTTCCCGGTGCCGAAAGTGCTGGGCGGATTGTTCCAGTTGGCGGAATCGTTGTTCGATATCCGTATTGTGGAACGACCGGGCGTTGATACGTGGCATGAGGATGTCAAATTCTACGATATTTTCAACGCCAGCAAGGGAAATACCCCGATTGCCGGATTTTACACAGATTTATACTCGAGGGAAGAGGAAAAAATTTCCGTTGCAGGCAATTCCGGGTGGATGGTTGGAATCGTCAACAAGAGCATCGTCGAAGGGGACAATCCTCTGGCAGCTCTGATTTGTAATTTCCCTGCTCCGTTGTACGGAAAACCTTCGCTTCTATCGCTGGACGATGTCAACATTCTGTTCCATAAATTTGGTCACGCCCTGCAGCATCTTCTGACGGAAACTCAATACAGTGAATTAGCTGGTCTTTCCAACGTCGAATGGGACGCCGTCGAAGTATCGGGACACGTCCTCACTCATCTGCTCCACGATCCGGATGTGATTCGTTCGATCACCTCGCACTACGGCACGGAACAACCCCTACCGGACGAATGCATTATGGCCATCCAGAAGCACCAGAAACACCTCGCCGGTTATAGTCTCTGTCGTGAGTTGTACTTCTCCAATCTGGATCTGGAGCTTCATCTCACTTCCGACTACTGGTTGGACATTGTCAAGAACCTGTACCCCCAGTTCCATACCTTCCCATTGGATAAAAAGGACGCCCATCCATGCTCGATGACGACCATCTTCTCCGGCGACTGGGGAGCGGCCTATTTCAGCCGGCTCTGGTCCCGGATGGTAGCGGCCGACGTTTACAGTGCCTTCATGGAGGCCAAAACCAAGGGGCAGCAATCCGAAGCCGGCCTCAGATACCGGGATACGTTCCTGGCCCTGGGCGGTGGCTGTCATCCGTCGGATGTGTTCCGACAGTTCCGGGGACGCGATCCATCACCTAAGGCTCTGTTACAGAATCTGGGCATCTACAAACCAGTGCATTCAACCGGCAGCGGATCGACGACGACGACGACCGCAAGCGAGTAGGTCAGTAAGGGGACAATTCTTGTTGCAAATTTTAATTGATGCTTTGTTGAATGGAACAGTTAAAATATGATGATTTATTGGAAATTAATCGCAGTCTACTCGGAATCTGTATCACACTCCTCAAGTCTTCTCTGAACCATCTCCGCTTCTCGCCGAAGGCCGTCGTTTTCGGGGTCCAATTTGGAAGCGGCAATCAGTTCGTCACATCCTTGCCGAAGAAATCCCAGCTTGACCAGGGCAGCACCTCTTCGGGCCAGACAAGCGACGCGAGCTTTTCTGTTCGCTTCGACGGGGGGATCCAGCAGGACCAGAGCTGCTGAGCAATCCTCAGCCTAAAAAAATAGAAATCGAGTCAAAACCACACTTTCGGCAAGTCAACCAACTCACGCATCGCTGATAGTTCTCCATCCCAAAGTGAGCCGCCGATCGATTCAGGAACAGCGAGTAGTAGTTCTTTGTCAACCGAATCCCAGCCGAATATGCCGAAATCGCGCCAAGATAATTCCCCTGCTGAAAGAACGCGTCTCCCTTCTGCTTCAACCATTCCGGGTTCTGTTCCTCCGGTCGCAGGTCATCATCCACAAAGCCAGTTGCCTTTTTTGCTGCCGCTTGCTTCATAATCCAGTCCCGTTCGTCTTGCTCCAGCGATTCCCGTTTCGGAGTGATAAAGTTCCGCTTCGTAAATGTCACTTGCACCGTTCCGGATCTTCGAACCGCTGGGACTTCCTCGATCACCTTGGGTTTCTTGAACTCTTTCGGACGCGGAGTGTCCTTTCTCTGCACTACCACCTTCTTTCTATTCTCAGCCTCCATTCGCTCCATCTCCTTCCGCTTACTCTCCGCCAGTAAATTCTCTATCGCCGTCCTTTCGTTGCCATCCCTCTCGATCTGCCGGGAAATCTCATCTCGCTTCTTCTGGTCCTTCTCGATCGCCCGTTGCTTCGCCTTCGCCTCCAGCCTCTTCTGGTGCTCATCCAGCAGCTCTTCCTTCAACTTCACTCTCTCCCCTCGACCGACATCCACCTCCATCCGGGTCCACTCCAAGTTCGTTTCCTTCTTCTTCAGCGTGAAAATCACTTCATTCTCCAGAATCGAACAGCGACTTTCGTCCTCCTCAATCGCACTGGAAAGCAACGCTTCCCAGTAGTACGGGGCTTTGTTGATCTTGAGCAAACGCTCGCTGGTGAAAACCTCCTCCTGCCGGAGGTAATTCTCCGGGAAGGGAACCTGAATCGTCACCCATTCCGAGTCCTGACTCCAGGTGTGGTTTTTCAAGATCACTGGCATGTTTTGCTTCCTCGTTGCTGCAGCACACTCCACTTGATGTCAAACGATCAAACATCGGAATCGGTATCCAAGGAAACGATCGCGCGTGACATGCGCGCGCTGACCCACGTGCTCGTGCCGCTGTAAGAAAAATCACCTACCTATAGCCTTTTTCCGTGTAGAATTTTTGATTTTCAACTTTATTTTTCGTTTGTATTAATTACATAAAAAATGAAGGCTTATTCTTAAATATCACTTAAATTAGAAGTTTGTTATATTTTTTTTTGTATTTGCAGCTTTTCGTTCGATTTGGTTTGCACTATATCACTTTTCAACTATATAGGTATGCTCGACATGCTTATAGCAGTAAAAAAAAAAACTCATAAATTGACAGCACCGTTTTGCGATAAAATTTCAATTCAATCCATCCATTCTCCCAGATTCTTGTTGTTCGCTTCCCTTGGCTCAGTAATACAAATCCTTCCAGCTCTTGAACTGGTCCCAGAAGGTAAGATTCAGGATCGTGTGCGGAGCGATGCGCCAATAGTTGGGCACGAAGCCCTTGTACAGGCCGTGCAGCCCCTCGGCGCGAAGGGTTTTGCTGAAGCAGTCCAACACGCTGCGGTACAGTAGACCCCGTCCGTTGGCGTCGACGCCTGGAAAGAGAAGATTAGATGGGAAAGAAATTAACTGCGGTGAGTGGTTTGAAGTGGTTTCCTAAATTTGATCAAGAAAGTCCAATAGATGACATATCAAAACCGGAAACTTGAGGGACTTTTCTTTAAAATTAAAGCGTTAGGGTGGTTCAAAATATCGATTTCACTCCACCAAGCTCAACCGATTTCAAATTAGGTCATGATAATTCTGACAACATTTGAGCTCATTTGGATGCGAACTCATACTGCACTGGTCCTTTGAAGTTCATATGGGAATTACAATGGGAAAAGTGAACTGCAACAAAATTTATTGCTTATTGTTATTTAGATGAAGGTCGAAGACAGATGCAACTCTGTTTAACAATCTCTGCAGCCCGCACAAATCGCACCGTATGCTCCGACGTAGAGGCAGCCTTGGCATGAGGTTGTTACGAAAGGTCGGGATTGAACACTCTGGTCGATTTGCTTCAGGATAGCCTCGCAATCTGTCCTTCCCTGCAGGATATCGGCGACGGTTAGGGCTCTAGGTTCTAGGTCGATAAGTTAACAACGGCTTTCGTAACTGGGCAATCGAAACGGATCATTTGAAGGCAATCTACGTAGCGCAAAACGAACAAAGCTACGTTGAACAGATTCGATTCTATCGGCACCGTTGTAGTAGTTTGGGTTCCAAACCGCTGAACAATACTCAAGCGTCGATCGAACAAGCGAACAATAGAGAGACTTTAGACAGTAGATGTCGATGAAGTTTTAGCTACCCTGAAAACGAACCCCTTGTGGGACACACGGATATAATGAGCGAAAAAAAGTTGGAAGGGTTGTATACTAGATACGACCGCAGGGTTGGCGTTGGATAACGTCTGTTATGTGTTGTACTTAATTGTGTATATTATATTTTAGGAATATTCCTTAATAACTCTTTTGCGAAAGTTTGGTGGTCCTGAAAAGGGCGTTTTGTTGGGCTGATGTTGTTGACAATGATGGAACGGGTGACCTTGTTGGACGCTTATATAGTAGAACAGAAAATATCAGAAGTGTCAGATACTCGCATACGTACGTTAAACTCATTCTTGATAATGTTGTGGCCCTGAAAAGGGCCATTTTTCCAACGCGCTCGGCGTATTTGCCCTTGCGGAGCAGACGGTGAATACGACCGACTGAGAACTGCAGCAGCTGGGCATTCCATGACGGCGGCCCAGTATACCGGAGCACTTTAGTTGAAGAATGCCGGAAAATCAAGAAAACGGCCTTTTTCAGGGTTACCAACAATATCTGAAAGGGTTATTTAGAACTTGTTCTGCTAAATAGAAATAGAGGAATAGAACAATAAATAACTGAAGCACTTAAATGTCGATAACATAAACATCGACTTTGCGTGGTCCTACGTCATTCCACGGTCGGGTCTAACCCTTTAATTTTTATTTTATTTAAGGGGGGCTATTGTCAAGCGTCGTATTGAAAATGGAATCTATAGCTCTGCGAAGATTCAACTTTCGATATTCAAGTGTCGGAAAGGCAATAGAAAATTAATCGTTAAACTCTTTCTTGATAATGTTGTGGCTAAAGCACTCGGCGTAGTTGCCCTTTCACCCCCAGGCTCTGCTGCCGCTGCTCTGCTGCCGTTGCTCTGCTTCCGCTGCTCTGGTACTGCTGCTCTGCTGCTCTGCTGCTGGGTCGACGATCGGATAGACAATGATGGAACGGGCGACCTTGTTGGACGCTTATATAGTAGAACAGAAAATATCAGAAATGCCAGATACTCGCATCTGATGTCTCGGTTGGAGAAAGTATGAGAATATAAAAAAAATCAATCGATTTTCACCATCTTTAGACAATGGTTTACTTTTAACCATTTTTCAATAGTTTACAGAATGAAATCAATAGTTTTGAAACATTCAGCAAATTGCTAGAAATATTTCCAATCGATTGATGCCATTATCTCGTAAATCGTAAATCGTTCAAAATCTTTTAATTTTTCGTAACGCATCCAAAATGACTGTTTTCAATTTTGTACCCCCGTATGTTGCCGAAAGACGTTATCCAACGTCAAAATACTCGGAATTGATCATTTTGTCAAGCTTCTGCATTCATGTTCCATCAGATGTCACAGCTGTTGTTTGCGGTGACATCTGTCGGAAACTAAGCACAATCTGTTTTCCTATAATTGTTCACAGAGGACACTGCAGTGCAAACCATGTCTGGTACCTCTATAAATGCATTTAGATTATTGTTCGAAGTCCCTCCTTTTTTACACATTCTGCACACAAAATAGCTCACCCCTCACATAATTTCCCTCCGAATTTTATGTATGGGGCGGGGCATAAAGTATCTTTTGCGCAGAATATGTAAAAAAGGAGGGACTTAAAATGTTAAAGCAAATGCATATATAGATGTACCAGACATGTGTCAGGTACTCTATTTTGTAATCTGTGAAAGGGAAATCACAAATCGAGTGTCAACAAAATACATGGCATGTTGAGAGATTGAGCTTGTGAGAGAGAATTTCTCTCTCAAATTTGAATTTTTTTGGCTCTCTGAGGACTGGTAGTAAAGCAGGTAAAATTGTATGGGGAAAAATCATTTTTATTTAATTGTAGCTTGTTGAGCATTAATTTCCGGGAAAAAACTCGATCAAACCACACTCTGAAAAATTTTCACGTCCGATTTACGTGAAATTTCCCGTAACTGCTCAGTTTTTAGAAAACCTCAAATGTTACGTGACGTTAGTCACTTTGACCTGCATCACACGTCATGTTCACTAAAAATGTTAGTGAAATCTACCGTATTTTCACGTAAACTATTTAGTGTGTCTGTGTTAGTGAGTTTCCGACTTTGAAATTTCAGTGGAACTAGATTTACGTGATTTTCAGGTATGCAAAAATATATGGCGTCAAAGTGTAAGTTGGCGGAAGAACTCCTCAACGATTTAAAATTTCCCGACAGCTTGTTGAAAATATTGGACGGTAATTTGATTCTTTTACTTAATTTGTTTCAGATTATGAGTCACTAACGTAGCTTCTTTTATGTGTTTATAATTTCGTGGAAGTGGATTCGGTATCTTTAACCTCCTTACTGCATCAGAGGATCAGTTCTTAGCATGCTTGGAAGAGCTGGGCTATGAAGATATTTCGTGCACATCGTAATATTTATTCGAGTTAATTCAGTCATGGTGAAACCGAAATGTATGTATATAAAACAAAATTGTTAACAACAGTTTAATAAAATGTATTCATGTTTTGTCTTTTCAGAAACCAACGATACGGTCTTTGGTGAACTCATATATATTCACCAGCCAACCTGAACCAGAAATTGATCGGCGAGAATCTTGCTCACTCGCCCTTTCGGAGGTTGATCCACCAGTTGATTCGGAACAGGAAGCCTCGCCTTTAGTACAAAGTACTAGTGCAGCGTACAACGTTATTTTCATCAGCCAAGCTGAAGCGGAAAGCGGTAAAAGTGAAGCTCACCCACTCGCCCGGTCGGTGGTTCATCAACTGGTTGCTTCAGAAGAGGAAGCCTCTTCTTCAGTACAGCGTACCGTAGCGGTAGCTGGCCATGTATCACAACCCCTACCGATTGCATCTGGCACAGCTTATGTTCCGGTAAAGGATTCTTCTCTTGCGGTTTCGGGCGCAATTGACGGTTTTTTCCATAGTGAAGTTATCACTGATACGAGCACTCAGGTTCTTGCTGAAGGTCTACCTCGACCGACACCGGTAACTTCAAATGAGTCAACTTCATCTCCAACTGAGACTGTAATTCGCAGCAGTTGCAACCCATTTGATTGTAATGTACTACATGAGCTATTAAATCAATCCGAAGAGGGCAAAGACATTATCACCAGAGCCCAAGTGGGCGAGTTGTCGGAAGCAAAACAACTCCAGCTTGCCGGAATAAAAGCTAAATATCACCTGATTCACCGAGACAAACTACGCGCTGAAGATTTGCAAACGTACGCTCTTGTAATTTGCATTTTGTTCAAATTCGAGCGGCAGGTAAACTACAATCTCAATTTTTAAATTCGACCTTAAACCTTAAATATTCGTGTTTTTAATTTCAGGAGAATTACTACATAGCTAGAGGAGGTGACAGAAAGAACCATGGAGGTAAAATTGCCAACAAAATCGGTAATCTAAAGAAGAAGAAACGCAAAACGGATGCTTCGGAGGAACAACACGCTATTGGTCTCAAACGTAGTGCACCAGCAGATGAAACAGTTCGTCATCATGACGAAAACAGCACCCAAGCTTACGAATGGCTCGTCCTGAATATAGAACCCTGGACAACCGTAACAGATAAATGGCCCTTGAGCTTATCCAAGCGCAAACCCTTCTTGTTAGCGCATTCGGCCGTAGCTAAAATCTTTACGTTCTTCCCTCACTACAGAAATCAATACGGTTATCAATTGGTGAGTTAGTTTGATGTTATAGCACAATGTTCAATTTGATTTCTATTTTTTGCTTGTTATTACTATAGATCGACATCGACTTCAAGCATCTATTCGGCGGAAGCGCGAATGAAATCCGGGGATTTGAAGAAATCCGGCCAGGTATCACAGCTTACATTGCAAAGCGAGCCATAGATCCATCCGCAGAGAATATTCTCAAACTGCTCACCGACAACGATACAAACGAAGGTAAACATGTTTATATTAGGTATTTGTAGTAACTGATTAGAAATATTTTTTTTTAGATACGAAACATTGCGCACTACTGCTTGGACTCAGTACTGTGTTGCCACCAATCACGGCCGGAACTCATTTTAAACCCACAATCTGCGTTTCGCAAGAAGACACTGTCATTTTTGCAGAGTCGGTGGCTGCTGCTTCCAGCAAAGTACAAGACACGTACCAAACATACGTTGATCGGAAGGTACCTGTGGTTCCCAAGTTAGTTGTTTTGGGAAAGGATGTGAACAATATTAGCGGCCGATTCTTTGTTTACTTCGAGGACTTTCATTACGAGCTTCCAACGGCCGCACGTGCAATCGACGTTATCATT